TGATACTCATGATACTCATGATACTCATGATACTCATGATGATACTCATGATACTCATGATACTAATGATACTTATGATGATACTCATGATGATACTCATGATACTCAAGATGATACTCATGATACTCAAGATGATACTCATGATACTCAAGATGATACTTATGAAATTAATGATTATCATGATGATACTAATGATACTCATGATGATTCTCATGATACTCATGATACTAATGATACTTACGCTGATACTCATGATACTTATGATAATCATGATGATACTCATGATACTCATGATGATACTCATTATACTCATGATACTCATGATGATACTCATGATACTCGTGATACTAATGATACATATGATGATACTCATGATACTTATGATACTCATGATGCTCATGATACTAATAATACTCATCATGATTCTAATGATACTCATAATACTCATGATGATACTTATGATAGTTGTGATACTCATCATGATACTCATGATGATACTTATGATACTAATGATACTTATCATGATACTCATGATGATACTCACGATACTAATGATACCCATGATGATACTCATGATACTAATGATACTCACAATGATACTCATGATACTCATTAGTATCATAAGTATAATCATGAGTATCATTAGTATCATAAGTATCATCATGAGTATCATTAGTATTATGAGTATCATCATGAGTTATCATGAGTATAATCATGATACTAATAATTTCATGATGATACTAATGATGATACTCATGATACTAATGATTCTCATAATGATACTCATGATACTTATGATGATACTAATGATACTCATCATAATACTCATGAAGATACTTATGAAAAAATGATACTAATGATACCCATGATGATACTCATGAAACTCAAGATGATACTCATGATACTAATGATACTCATCGTGATACTCATGATACTCATGATGATACTCATGATACTAATGATACTCATGATAATACTCATGATGATACTTATGATACTCATGATACTAATGATGATACTTATGATTTTAATGATACTCATCATGATACTCATGATACTAATGATACTCATGATGATACTAATGATACTAATGATATTCATGATGATAGTAATGATACTAATGATACTCATGATGATACTCATGATGATACTCATGATACTAATGATACCCATGATGATACTCATGATACTAATGATACTTATGATGATACTAATGATACTGATGATGACACTCGTGATACTAATGATACTCATTATGATACTCATGATGATACTTATGATACTAATGATACTCATCATGATACTCATAAGACTAATGATACCCATAATGATACTCATGATACTCAAGATGATACTCATGATACTCAAGATGATACTCATGATACTCAAGATGATACTCATGATACTCAAGATGATACTCATGATACTCAAGATGATACTCATGATACTCATGATGATACTTATGATACAGTAGAAACTTTATTATGGATAGAAATTAAAACTGTAAAAGCGTTATGAAAGAATTATTTTTAATTGAATTAGTCGTGCACCGCGAATCTGCAAACACAAAAAGGAATAGTGATCAATAATTTTAAATTTCCTAAAATTGTTAGGGGAATAAAGTTTAAGAAGTAAAAACATGTAAAAACATGTTAAAAGGTAAAAAAACTAATCGTAAATGCGAGCAAAAGTAGCATTTGGCATGAAAAGTCAAAATTGCGTCATTTTGTACGGGCCAAATGAAACTTAAAATAATCATTCAATCATCATGTTTCTAAGGATATGACAATTGTCGTTAAAAAAATTGAAGAATTATGTGTATGTGTTGAGTAAATGTTTTTAAGCTAATTAAATTTATGTATAAAGGCCGACGACGGGCCTACCGTAGTTTTTCGGCAGATTATACATATTTCATCAATAGCGGTTCAATACGCGATTAATCTAATGACGATGCCCCCACGTCAGAAGTCTTAGGATGTGAATCACTTATTTCCCGGAAGACTTTGGGGTTGGTTTAAAGATATAAATAACAATATCAACGGTATGCATAATACCGTTGCTATTGTTGCTATTGTAAGTAAACCTGTTGCTGCTAGCATAAAGATTACAAATCAACAATTATATCCAGATTTTGATCAATTGTGTTTTTGAAATTCCATTCAGATTTTTATTTGCTAATTTGTGAAACAATTTCATTTAGTCTTTGATTTGTTTGTTAGCAAATTTCATTTAGGTTTGAATTTGTTAATTGGTGAAACTGCATAGTAAAAGATAACCTGTTTAAACATGCAACTATCCATTATTTCTTATTATTTATTATTTTTTATCATCATATAATATTTTTTTATGTTTCCCTTATATTAGAGTATAATTTACATTGAGTTCCATGCACTGCACATGTACTGAAACAAGAGCTTGAGACATATCCCACTGTTACTTTCTCATTCGGCTACAAATGTTAGACTAGTTCCATTCATACACAGTTTGGTTGGGCTCAAATGCCAATATATTTTTTAATGGACAACTACATTAAACTAGATCCCCTAGGTAGGAAGCAATGGTTTGAAAAATTTGTATTAGTTGGTGTCTGTTGGTATTATGATATTTCCCTTTTTTTTATTTATTTGTTATTTACTGCTTATTTACTCCTATTTATTCATTCCTATATTTTTTATCTATGTGCAACACTTAATAATATCATAAATGGTTCACTGCCAAATATATGCATTCCTTGATTTCAATAGTACTACTTCAACTTTTTGTACTAGTTCTCAAACATTACGGTGTAAGGTGAAGACCCCTTACAAGAATAATTCTTTTGAAAGAAAACTAGTTGTTTTGCCCGGGTGGTGGGGGCATGAGAATGACTGGCTGGGTAGCCGGAGGAATTGAAATGCTCCATAGCAATGATTAAGTCACTGTTGCCAGTCCGATTCTGAGAAAAGTCAATAGCTTTTTGAGGGCTCAAAACCGGACCCAGCTGTTCCTGATCATTGGGCTTAAAATAAATGATCCTGACTGATGATGAACCAGGTTGATCTTAGTCAGTAACAAAGCTACATAGATAATCTCACTCCATTCTACAATCTCCTTCGCTCATATTTGGGTTTAAGGCGTGCCCATCTCAAAAAATTGATAATTGATAGTTGATAACATTTATGATACAGAAGAGAATACTGTAATGTGGGACTACTGTAAAAACGCAGTTTAGTACACTAAACCATGGATTATACAGGCAAAGCTCGATCGTACTTATTGCTTATTTTGACAAAGTTTCTTATTAAGACTTTCCATTCAAGTATCTGGTTGATAGGTGTGCTGCTTACAGTTTTCTCAATATTTTGTGTTTCTTATGAGCTTTATATATAGTTGAAGTACATCCAATAAATCAAATTTTTGTGTTAGGCAAGATAAAATTTGTTCACAATTATGTATTTGAGACATTTAGTTTCTATACAAAATTAACTATACAATGCTTTAATGCTCTCCTGTTTTTCTTTTGTTCACTTCCCTCCAGCAATATTGGGCTATCAACAGCACACTTTACTGTACTCACTTACAAATATCGAATCACAATAATCCAATTGCAAACACAGCTCAGACACGTGCTGCTACCTGCCGGAGTGAAGCGCAATGACTGACATATATAATAACAATAAATACCACAGTAATTGCAGTATATGTGCAATGACCTTTTCACGAGCTCTTTGGAAGCGCTTGTGTGCTTGAGTTCCATGTTTGTCCCCTGATTCTTTGCCACTTGCCAATGATTCAGTATTGCAGTTCTATTAATTGCAACTGATTAACCTTCACACAATGGGTATTGGTATTATGTCATGATTATGACATTTTCATAAAGTACAGTACAATACTGTATAAATTTCTAACATAAAGCTTTGACTTTTAGACTTTTGATACCAATGAAAAGACCAGACATCCCATTCCCATGTTAAAGTTGTTGCCAGTTTTTGATTAAAATCCTTAACAAAGTTGATGTGAGCCATTGACAGATTGTGCTGATCTAAATTACTGATTTCTGTCAAATACACAAACCTTTTTACCAATAATTCAAACTGATGGAAAACTTATTGTGACCTTAGCAACTGTTATGACCCATAAACTATGTTAGCAACAATAATAAGGTATACAATTTATTTTTAGACACTAGCACATTCTGTGAATGGCTTACTCAACTTTTATTTTATAATAAAAAAAATGCAATAGCTGATTCATACAAACGGGATGTCTACTTCGGTATCCAATAATAAAATAAACTTAATTGTGTACACACTATTGGTTTTAGGTTTAGGTTTTAGGCTATGATTTTTTAGGGATGGGGTAGAGTCATATTATTGGAAAGCCCAGATTATCAAGAACCAAGAGGTTCAATTGTATTGAATATTGATTATATTGTCAAAACCAACTGCATAGTTCGATTTACCACCTATAGTCGGGAAAGTTGAATTGAAAGTTTGCAATTGAGGGAGGAGCCTATTTACCACGTGCCTTCGAAGGAGCCAACGAGGACAGTGCGGTCTTGCCAAATCTAATAATACCAGCTGATTTGAAAATATTGTTTATTATTTTAATTAGTGTTGTCAACGGGCGGTATGGCAACGTCGCACTAGCCTTGTCTTGTGATTGGCTGCCGCCAACTGCAAACTTTCGTGGTCCCGACTTTAGATGACGTAGGTGTATTTTTTTGTGATATCAGCTGATTATTATGTATCTATCATTTGTCAAAATACATATTTTGCTTACCTGCCCATCAGTGAAATTAATTGCGCATGCACACTATGATTAATTAACTGTGTGATAAATCCCCCATTAAATTGTTTGGGGTAAATGTTCCCAAGTTGATTGAGATGCAAATATATTGAAACTTGTATCTATAAGGTATAAAGAAGCGTGTGTTTTATGAGAATATATCTGAAAGTTATAATATTTTAAAGCTTCAAATAAGAGCATGCCATTTCAATGGGGTACTTAACAAAAACACATTTGTTATTTACACATTTTTTTATTTTCTTTTTTTATTATGTGGCTACCACAACAATTATTGAGTACAGAAACATTAGCCTCAGATGAAGTAGTTATGCTCATGTACTATTGGTAATTTTGCTGTTGCAGCAGTTGGTTGGCTTAGAAGTAATACCAAAACTTATTATTACGCAAAACGTCATGTAAAAAACTAGAACGTTTTCAATTGTGCTCTTCAAATCCCAATTTCATACAAATGTCTAAAACAGTCTCCTTTAAATTTTGGGAAGACCGAGTGTTGACAATCCTATGACTAAATAATTAAAGGTAAATTTTATAAATATTTTAGGTAAATAACAAAACAACAACGTAAAATAAAATAGGAACAAAAACAATATTACTCATGGAGTTGAATAAAATTAAATCAATATCGTATAAAATACAGTTATCAACAAAACAATAGCGTATTGAATTATTCTATCTAAAGTAAAATTATTTAATGATTTTCATAGAACTTTTAAAGTATTCTTGCTTATTAAAATTATTCTCTAAAAATTTGTATTCTGGTAACTACAGTCATTACATTGCGAAGAACAATATTTTAGTTATCTCTCAAAACTGTAAAAATTATTCTTCGTTTTATATCTTACCGGAAGTTGGCCCCTGCTAACCCCTATTTATTGTGAGGACTTCTCTGTATTGTTTCTAACAAAACAACAAATATTCTTTTCCCAAATACAACTGAGAATGTTATCATGGTTTGGCTTAAAACACGAGGCAATGGAAACACAAACACAGAGTAAAAAAATACAAAGACTCAGATATACAATGTTTGATTGTTATAACCATCCTTCAAGCCGCTAGCCTACATACAGATAAATCTAACCTAATACACAACTACGCCAAGAGTGAAGATAGATTATTTTACAACCAAAAGATTAAATTTCAAAATGGCACAGTTTAATCATTTACAATACGAATCTCACTAATTGATACTGATGTTCCATCAGGCATTCGTTTAAAATAATTTATCTTCCCCTGAGATACTCAGTTCTAGCCCTAACACATCCGACACGATACAAGGCACAAACTTTCCAACAAGGCCTAGACTTGCCAACCCATACACATAAACCATCTCGTTCAAACACATGTTAAAAGAACATTTCATTAATGAAAGTAAGACAAAACAAGTTAGAATGTTACACAACTCTCAAGTTGTTTACATACAAATGAATGCAACTCTCATAAACATGTATATTGACATTATATCGCTGACTGTTACCAGCGATTTATTTCATAACCCCAACTACTTAGGAAAAATTATGACAGTAGCTTTAAAAGAAATACCACAGAGCGAAGTTATAATACTTATAAAGTAATTTCAACAAACATTCAGGATCATAAATCGCAGGGGAGAAGCAAATATAAAAATGTTTTTTAATATAAAATGAAACAAAATATTCATAGAATATCTGTACTTATTTACAACATCAGGACCTCGCGATCAGTTTAAAGTCTATTTTCCTACCTTACTCGTTAACATGTAAAAGACATAATTTATAAAAATGTATAGTTCAAATGCTTATGGTTAGGAGAAAATCACATAGGAACGAAATCAATAACAGAAGTCGAACAATTGCATTCATTTAAATCATTAATTTATCCTTATAGATTAAGATAATTATAAAATCTCTTTTCGGTCTGTTTAAAATACCGAGAGTAAATTTGTGTAACGTTTATTTAAATTGTACCCATCATAACAAATATATTTAAAAAAAGGATTCAATAGTCATTGCCTAGTAAGTTGTTACAAATGTTACACATTATACATTGTTACAAGATAAAAATATTTTTCCCTCCTCTCTACTCTCAGATATTGGCACAAGTAATCATCTCCAATAAGGACAATACAATTCTATAGCGTGATTTTTTGCCAATAGAACTAAATTCTGTATCATCCCTTTTAAAAACTTTAGCACAAATCCCAGGTATTTTAAACAGAATCACACAAGTTCACACATAAATATTAATAAACAATTAAGTAGTAGAGTTCTTCCAGTATTTACATTGCGACTCCGTTTGGATACTTGATGCTGAAGAAAGGTTTGCTGAGCATTCGGTCACAGCACTGGGGCTCTAAAAGGTACCCGACGCAGAGGATCACGAGCAAGGCAATGTGGAAGGGAACACTGGCCCGGAACACCCGCCACAGCCACCCACGGGTGGACGAGCCTCGGTCCGGGTCGCTGTCCGGGTCTGACGGCATGAAGCTCATGGGTCCAGAGTCTACGTCGTCACTTCTACAACACAAGTGAATCCTGTTTACCATGTTATATCAGTTTAAAGGGATGAGAATTGAGCTAATTTGTTTATATACTATATGATAAAATAAACACGGAGAGTGTTAAATCATAAAAACTACCTTAAACCAAATTGTACCAACAGAAAAGCCAAAATGTTGTCTGCAAATAACAATGGTTGAAAACGTACCACACTATTTTTTATAAATAAATTACATTGTCATTTATCTCAATAACTTTTTGTAATAGGGACTCATGATGTAGAACCAAACTAGTTCTCACTACAAACTGTTTTTGCTCCAAACAAAACACTTAAGTTTATCGAAAATACTTTCCCATCTCAATTGATAATGATAATAGTGATGAATTCCAGTTGATTCTATTGCTTTATTTCTAGCCATAGGCTTAAAAAAGTGAGAAAGGCTTAGCCTCTACACTCTGAGGCAAACATTTTTTTGCTATAAATCGCACAATTATTAGTTGTAATGTAATTTGATAATTTAGTCAATAATTTAGTTAATATCGGTAAATCCTTAATAATCAATGCATAAATTGTATCTTCTGGAAGGATTAGGCCAGGAGAAAATCTGACTAAGGCTGATAATGTTTAAAGCTACCAAAATACGACTACCAAGCAGGTTAAAGCTAATTTCATGGCCAACCAAACTTGACTCGTACGAGGAACCACAGCTGATTGCAAGAACCAACCTAACACGACTCATACTAGGAACCACAGCTGATTGCATGGCCAACCAAACACGACTCGCACTACAAACTACAGCTGATTGCAAGGCCCTGTGTGTGGCCAATCATAGCAGAGCCATTCATTACTTGGCCACTCCCCCAACTACAATACCCGGCCACTTCCATCGCTATTTATTTATTAAGTGAACACAATTAAAATTACGCTGTACAGTTACTCAGGCGCCACCCACCCTGTCCTGACCAGCCTCTATATCATTACCGTGCAATTAGAGGGTCTCCTCATTAATACTTGAGATTGTAATTGATTCTTACATTGTATAGATATTTGCTTTATGCTTTTCGATTTAATTTAAATTAGATTTCTATTGGACTTAGGAGTTATGGGCAATTGATAGTAGTAAATCAACATGCCAAATTAAAGTACTTCCAGTAATTAAATTAGTTTTCATCGTTAAGTTTTGATATAAATTAAATGTTCCCAAAAAAAAAGAGTTTTTTGCAGTTCAAAACTGGACCTAGCTGTCCTCGATCAGTCAGTAACAAAACTACACAAGGCATCTCAATCATTTACACTCATTCTTGATTTATATCTGGAATAAAATACACAGAGTGTGTCTCTAATAATATGTTGTTTGGTTGTAGGTATTGGAAAATAGACCATTATTTTTACAAAGTTAATTTAAAATATCCTTAACAATACAAAGTCATAAAATTCAAGAGTTCCACAAAATATAAACAACGGGCATATCTACAGTCAAAAGCCAAGAAGATATTGTGGGTGTTTCTGATCCGTTGATCCGTTAATGCAAAGTGGAAGCTAATCCGGGTAAGTCGTTTCACTCGGGACCGCTTAAGGTTAAGAAACCATTAGAATTAGTGAGTTAGCAGACGCTGGCAAACACAGCTTAGTTAGTCTTTTATTTGGCAAATATTGCCACATAATGTGAGGGTGGTGTACAAATCAGGCCATTCCCATGCGTAGAGCGCGACGAGACACCACTGGCGTCTTCACCCTTGCGACAATTAGTGACAATAATGTCTTACGACATTTGCGCTTATTTGTTTTTAGTTTTATTAGGTAATTAAATTTAAGCTTGGTTTTTCACTTGATCAGTACAGTTTTAGGTCAACTTAGTTTATAATCAACACTCGTAAAAATGTATGTTGTCAGTTTATGTTATAATTCATAGGTAAAGATTCTTTTTCACGTTCTAAGTGATTTTATTAATAGTTCTTATTTTACTCTACATTGGTTCTTGCATTTTTTTCTACTAATAAAATCTACACACAAACAAAGAATTTATGGATGGGAATTTAATTATTTTTTGTGTGTTAAATCAGTTTTTCACTCAATCAAACAGCAAAATATTTAGGTTTTATATTGACTTTTTAGGTATGTTTTCAAGACATGTAACTAGATTTTACAATTTTTTAAATTAGAAAAAGTTTAAAATAGCACATTAACAAAGTAAAGATTTTGTAACAAATATGTTGCATAGATACAAGAACAATTTTTTATAGTTAACTTGACTTTTTGTAAAGGTTTTTAATATTTAATAATCTTGATCAATGTTTCCCAACCTTTTTCCTGATGTACCATCAACAAGATACAAATATATTGCGTAACACCTAGAGGTCCGGTTTATTAAAATTGTTTTTGCCTTCCTAACTAATCCATTTTCCTACAATATTTTACTAAATTGACAAAAATTCATATCGCTACTAATCCACCACATTAAAAAAAATATTAATGCCATTATAATACAAGGTAAAGACAATAAAAATATAATACAACATTTCAATGAGAAGGCTTGATGTATAGAAGCCAACTAGTGAACCTCTGGTCTGTGATATATTGCGGGCTGAAGTTCCCATCATTTCGAAAGAAAGGGCGAGCTTTCCCAAGAAGTTTATATTTTTACAATTGATATATCCAAGTAAAGTTAGCCAACTGTGTACTGGGAACCAGATTTTTAACTTAACTCATATTTTGTAAAGACTACTATTATTTTAAGTCAGAGACACTTAGGGATGGACCTGATAATACTAATAGTTGAAAACGAGATTTTTCTTTTCAAGCAGAAAGGCCAACTTAAGTTTTTTTTTTATCTCTAGTAAAAATTACTTAAAATGGCAATAATGATAAACATAAATCTTCAGTCCTTATTGAACTGTTCTATGTTATCATGGCTGTAATCTGTGATTGTGAAGACTCCTCATCCTTTCCTGCATTCGTGGCAAAGTTGACAACTTATCCCGTGATCGCGTAGATAACATCACCGTCTACCACCACAGCAACATAAACATCTCACAATTGCATCACCTCTTGGGATGGCGGAAAAGCCATGAACATCTCTTGCAAACACAGAGGCACCATCATCGTTCCTCATGATTGTTGCAAAGTCGTGATCATCGCTGAGAGTTAAAACAAACCCTATCTTGAGAAAATCCCAATCAAACGTAATCCAGCTCAAGATCAAGAATATATTAGACCTAATCCAAATATTTCTTGAGTATTAGTAAGATTATATTGAAGAGAAAACATATCGCAACTTGTCAGGTTACAAACTACTGCTATTACAGACTCTCAAAATCCCTCTACATAACCCTATGAAACACAACTTGAGTTTACTGTGTATATAGGGGAGCGTGGATTCTATCAATCTGATAATGCCGCAACCCTCTTGGACTAGCCGGAAGTTATGTTTTAAACAGTTCCGGGCAAGAATCTTCTACCTTCTAGGTTGTAGAGGTGGGGGAAAAGAGTTGTATCTTACTTGTGAGCCAGTGATGACGTAGAGGTGCGCAGAGAGGATGTCTGATGGTCCTCACTCAGAGCTACTTTCACTATCAGCTTCCTACAAGTGTTTTGCAGCAGCCTCAGCTCCGTCTCTGCCTCGTCTATCCTCTGCAGCACAAAGAAACATGTCAAACATGAAGCAAACCCCTGTATTGTGGTGTTTTTCAGTTAAAATCAATAGGATAGAGTATCTTCAGTTAGGTAATTTATAGTGACAAGGAATCTTAAATCCTTAGTTTGGACATGGATGGTGGATATTCACTTTTTTCTCCTAGGAGTTGGCACATTGATCTTTAATCAATGATTAAATTTAACATAAGTGACTAAATTGATTACTGATACCTAACTACTGATGCCACAAGGATCTTGTTTTACTTCAATAACAATAGGATTAGTGATCTCTCATAGTAGATCCAGGTACAACATTACAAGTGTCTGAACTTCAGAACAAAGCATGAAGAATCATACCATTATGAGTAAAATATATCGTATAGATTTTTAAAGATTTTCTTAAGAAATAGAAGTTCAGCTACGAAAAAAAAAGTTTAAGTGATTCCGAGGGGAAAAAGTAACACTTTCTCTGTGTTAGTTCCATTATAATAATCTTGCACCTAACAAATCAATATTTGGTTTCAAAATTGATTCCACAATATCAAAAAGTTGGCATTACAACAGATGAAGGATGAGTCAATAAATTAAACTAAATCTAGTCAAAGTGTAAGTTGATTGCACGTTATCCAATCCACTCACTCTGGTTATGTCCTTGATGGCTTGACTGTTGGGACTCAATACAGTGTCTAGTTGGTGAGCGAGCCGTCGCAGCGCGCTGAGTCTTCTCTCTCTCTCACTCTCCAGCTCCGAACCTGAGTCAGAGATGCCAGAGTCTGACTCTGGACAGCCTTCTGACACTAGGATCACAGGAGTGGTGGCGTTCAGGGCGCAGAGACTCTGCTGAAACAAACAATTGTTGAACATCAGTCAATCACATATTTTGTTGAAACAGACAATCTAGAAACACATCAACAGTGGACATGCTCAACAGAAATCAGTAGGCACACTCCCTCTATGACTCTATGTCGATTTTGAATCTAAAACTGGCGACAACTTTGATATATGAACCGAATGTCTATAGTTCTATTCATAATCAAAGGTATCACTGAGAGACACTCCTAGAGCTGATTTATATTACTTTTTAATTTTCTGCTGAAATATTAGGCTATAATCTCCACTGAAGAAGGAACTAAATATAGCATTTGTCTGAAGATTCCCAGATGATTGCTATTGGTGCTGTCAACACTGATACAATATACAAGTTGATCAAGAGGTGAGTTTTAACCAAATTAAACTCTCAAAATAATTGGGGATTTTAAATAAATTCTTATCCACCCTGTGGTGTGGCTTTTATCAGATCCCTCATTACAAGGAGTGGCTAGGGGGAGGAGCTTTCGCAGGCACTCTGGTGCCCAGAGTTACACGATTTTAAAATCTCAGGTAAATGTAAACATTTACAACTGCTATAGCTGTTCTTGAACTAATTTAATTATTATTATTGTATTCCTTTCTATGATACTTTTTCCAACAATTCCAAATCCTAACAGTAAGCTCAGGAGCAAAATTTGCTTGGAAACCCAGCCAAATTAAACCACCACTGTGCCTTGATAAATAAATACATTTATATTTCATAAATTATTAGCTATTCACAATTAAACTCTTTATTACCAAACTGAATCTCACCTGTGAGCGGAGGTCTTGTTTCTCACTGAGCACCTTGGCAACGTCGATGACTGAGGAGGCCACGTTCTGCACACCGACACCGTCACGCAACGCAGAGTCCAGCATGCGCAGAGTCTGTTGGTCCGAGCGCAGAGCTACTGTCAACTCCGTCAGTTGAGACTCTAGTGTCTGCCACGTAGCTGACAGCTGTGATAGACTGTCTAGCTGCTCTGACACTCTGCAACGATAAACATATGTCAAGAAACTGACGTGAAAATACACTCCCTCAGAAAATTTAAAAATTATCCTTTCAAAATCTAGATTTTGACGTCTGAAGTACTTACAAGAACCATTCTTCACAGTTAATAAAATTGTAATATGCTTCAAGAACAAATAAAAATCTAGATTGTTTTCTGCGATTTAAATAGACAATTCAATGCAATGATGATTAACGATGATATTTAAATACAAGGTGTGTCCAGAAAATAATGGGTAGCCTTATATTTAATGGGTTTGAGAGTCCTGTTGTTAAAAAGTGTTGTAGGTTGGTATAAATAACCCAGAAATATGATATGATATAACGCTCAACTGTGTTCTTTGATCACTTTGACTTTTAAAGTTGCTAAGGTTGGATAGGGTTTTTTTATGGAACAAAGTAAAGTGTGACAATGAGTGTGAAATGTTAGCAATGACCTACTATATTGAATCTACTATAAGAAAATTAGGAACTTCCAAAGATAAGCTTGAAGATTTAATAATGATGACCGCCTCAGCACATCTGCAATCGATTATAACAAAGAAAAAATTAAATAATATTTTTTTATTTAAAAATAGCAATGAGAAAAGTGGTTGATAATGTTAGCACATCTAGTCGTCGTAATAAATAAATATTTTGATAAAAATAAAATTTCCTTGAATTACAAACCCCTTACAGTTTAATTGTTGATAGTGACCAAACAATATGCTTGCTAAGTTCAATCTGTTAAAATAAAATCATTATTTTTAAACAAACCCGTAGAAATAGTCAAGACTTTTTAAATACTGTAGTTGACTGAATGTTTGAGAACAATTGCATATAGCATAATATATTTCGAATTAACAAAGTACTAAAACCTAAAACTAATCAGTATCAGCATATTCAAACATTATCTTAAGCCATGATATAGAGCTCCCAATACTCTAAGTTCTAAAATTATTATTTTCCATTTTGGTTTCAAGTTGTATCTGTTTCTGTCCAGTGTCAATCTTGAAAAGCACATTCTGGCAATAAGGCAGCATCGTATGACCCCAGAGTCCAGCCCCAATAATCTGCTCCCTCAGTAAAAAGAGGGTTCTGGCCATCAAGTTGACGTTAAAAAACAATCTTCCACCCTAAGTAAAGTGTTATTGCTGTGGCCGCAGTCCACTTACTGACCACAACGCCATGTGTCATTGCACACAATGTATTCTACATCATTTGTCAAGCTTGTTGCTTTAATACAACTTTTTCATAAGGATTAAAAGAATATAAATCTCAATAACAGATTATATAATATAATTTAGGTTTTTGTGTGTTTTTAAACAAATCATTTTAAGCAAAAATATCCAGCAAACTAGTTTAATAGCTCAATGGGGTTGACTTATGTGACAATCGTAACTAAATTTTGAATTACTGAATTTAATGATTTTCTAGATCAATTATGTATATTTTAGACATTTTCCTGGGAGTTGAATGAGTAGCAAGAATTAATCAGATATTAAGACATCTTTTTATTTAGATTGGCTAATATACGATATCACAGTAGAAGAGAGTCAAGGCATTCATTTGAAGTCTAGAATAAAATAGATAAATCAAAACAAATAAATCTAATATTTGGAAAAAAGTTACACAATAATTTAGGCTCTTCGTCAAAAAGTATTTATTTTGGTATTAAACATCAAAGCTTTATGCTAAACATTTTATAACCTTTTTACCCATCCAATATGGGCAACTGTTCACCCTGTGAGATATACCACAAAGTCCCAACAATTTAAGATAGTTTATTTTTTTAGTATTCTGGTATTTTCATGTACCAATGAAATGTTTCAAGTTTTTTGTAGGAGGACAGTCCAAACGTCCCAGGTATTTTGACCAAATGTTAATCTTTTGTTCGAAAGCATCATTAAATGGGACCCCAACAACAACCACCATCTGTATCTAGAATCAACCTAATTTGGGTTTGAACCAGCAGCCCTCAGATTTGAAGGTGAGCGCTGTGACCACAATGCTGACTCGCTGACTCACCTCTTGTTGGTCTCGTCCCAGACGTAGTAGAGTTCGTTGATATCCTCCTTGAGCCGCTGAGCAGCTTGAAGTCCGGCCTCACTCTGCGCAGAGTCTGTGAAGAACTTGTGAACAGCTGAGTTGACCTCCACCAGCTGAGCTTTGCGCTCTCTCAGGTTGGCTTGCTCAGTCTGTAACAGGAGGATGGGGACATGAACATCTACTACAGTATCAACTATCAAACTGTCACTGTTACCAGCTTTACATCCTAGGACTCTACGTTCTAGCCGGGAATTGTTTTATACATTACTTCAGGCTTGTCCTAGAGGGTTGTGCTGGTTGCGGCACTATCGTATAGATAAAATCGATTGGTGATTGGCGGGATTTGGACCCGGGACCTCGAGCTCCGAAGCACTTTACCAGTAGACAAAATCGTTCCCTAAACTATCACTAGTAATATACTTGCATTTTGGATTCGGGAGTAGACATTTCATCTGTATGGACCAGCTGTACCATATTTGTTATAGAAAAAGAATGTAGTTGATTTGGTTAAAATGTTACCTTATTTGTCAGACATCTTTAATTTAAATCTGCATGTTCTGTTGGTGGCGCACTTTAACTACCTCAATTTTGATTTTGATTAAAAAGCTTTTGACAACTTTTACATGCTGGTGAAATACTTCTGACTGAGGCCATAGGTATTGGACAAAGCAACTGTCTTTATGTTAAATATACTTCCAAAGGAGTTGTTAATGGTTATGAGCGTGAGATATTTCAGTGATTCTAACGTAACACACATAACTTGTACATAATTAGCTTCTGTGTCAAATGTTGTCTTGTACTAATTGTTTAGGAAGATTTAAAAATCTTTAATTTTTAACATGCATCAACATAGGTCATAGATTAAAATGTCACAACAAAAATTAAAAACCATAGATTTAATAAATAATAATTTGTTTATCATTGAGAGTCTCATAAGAGTTAACGCTGTTACAATTAGAACATTCTGGTAAGATCCAAGACTCAGGGTGGGGGGATAAGTGAGGCTGTAGGGGAGGGTGGACAACGTGACCCGAATACAACCCTCTTGCTGCCTTTAGAAAAATACGTCCCCATCCCACCTCCCTGAAGAATTTGTAATTTACATATTTTAGCCATTGATCACAAAGCCTACAGCCAGTTTTCTTATTTTCCAACAATATTGTAATTCTGAGAAAAATTACACAGTCCATTTTAAGCAATAATTTGTAAATTAAATCAATTTGCCTTATTTGGTAAAGTAAATTTCTGCTTAAATTTAACAGTAATTTCTTGTGAACTTCAATATTGACTTATGTGGATTTTAAGTTATCTGTGAGCACTCCAGTCTTAACAACCCAAGTTGTTTCATGTTTGGGCTCTTGTCAAACTGGACTGAGGTGTTTGACAATGACATTCACCAAAACATGTAACACCTTTTGATTGTTACAATTGGAACTGCTGACAGGTATTGTAAGATCTAGTTCAGCTTGAAGTAAAAAGTTCCATAAGTAAACAAGTAATTTTGTAAATTCTTACAACACTTGCAGAATAGCCATCTTCACAATATGGCCATCTACTTGTCGTGAACTAATTACAAATCAGACCGATTAAACTGGTTCTGTTCTGTTGCTGTACGGTTAGTTGATTGACCTCTAGAATGCAGTTTACAGCCTATTTGACACAGTATTGGTTCAATAGTTTCATAAGTGGAAACCGGCAGTTCTTTAAAATGACTTACTCATAAGATCATAGACCAATAATGGTTGTAGCACAAATCCAGAACCTTGATCTAAGTCTAAACTAGTAAACTGGGGCAAGACTAGTTCTAAGAGTGTCTCATAGCAAAGCTACCATAGTCCATAGTAGTAGAAAGGTTACACAAAGAAGTCTTAATGCAGCCTTGACATCAAACACCTCATATGGGAAGTTGCAACTTAGTGAAAGTGATGCCATATTGAACAGCTGTGCAGCTAGATTTTATATCTTTTGCAACAGTAATTTCAAAAGGATATTTCCCACAAAATGTTTTTGTCGGGCAAGATAAGTTTATGAACTCAATAAATTTATCCTTGTATATTTAGCCGATAAAAATTGTAAGCGTTCAATAAATACATTTTATACTTCTAAATGTAACAGTAAATCTAACAGGGTGTTTTATAGAAGCTACCTCTGGTCACTTACAAAAACTAATCCAATCCAATAATCTAAACCAAATCAAATAGAACCATCTGTGATGCAATTCCTCAAAAGTAGCATAAGGCAACTTCAAGGCCAAACTGCCAAACACAAACCTTATAATTGTATCTTATGGAAACTTTTACAGTGAGGATAAATAGATCATGTAAATTGTAAACAAATAGATCTTGCAGGGCACACATAAACACAAGAACTCTTCCCCCACCACTGACGATTTGTATTTTGAACAGTCATCTCAACAATTACGTGTGGATTAATAATATAACCACACGAGTCTAAGGGCATGACTATCAGTATTTGTGATAATTTTCCCTCATCTCTTCCTACACATAATCCTAATTGGCACAATCATAAACCTCTGCTATGTATTCATTAGGTTTTTGTTTGTACCTTGACTTGTACAATCTTGAGCTCCAGCTGGTCTCGGTCCTCCAGCGTGTCGCTCCTAGTGTCTGCCACTCTAGAGGTAAGGTCTGCCAGTTCTACTCTCAGAGCCACCATCTCTCTCTGCAGCGACCTCATCCTCTCCAGCTCATCCGTCCTCATCCTCAGGTTGTGCCACTGCTCCATCATGCCTGCAACACAACAACACGTTTGAAGAATTCCACAAGCTTCACAGTTGATATAATAGTACAGTTGAATAATTAAACAATATATATTTCAATTAGCATTGATCAATTCAATTAGCAAGACAATCAAAATACTTGTGAGGTATATACAGTAGACTCCCTCTTATCCGGACAATTTTTAACCGGACACTCTGTGGAAATGACATCTCTTTAACCGGACTAGATCGGCAGGAAGTGGGCAGTACTGAAACAACTGTTCTTGTGGGAAAGATTTGAGACCAGTGATCACATGTCTAAATACAATGCTCTCCTGAATTTAAGTTGAATATCACAGTAAAGATCCTTTTTTTGTGAGTTTTTGGGGACGTCGGTTTAACCGGAAAACCCATTATCGGGACTGGCCTCGGTCCCGAGGAGTCTGGATAAGAGGGAGTCTACTGTACTGTACAAAAAACAATCTCATTTCATAATGAGTAAGATCTCATCGATAGTACAAAAACAAGACAATTGTTATCTCTAATATCTTGTGGTTTGCACATTTTGAAGCTGTTAAATCTCCTGCCAAAAAATACTACTACAACCTGTATTAAATAAGGTGTCACCAAAATTTTTAATTATTTAGTTTTTAACACCTGATTATTGTGAAAAGAATATCAATTGAAATAGCAACTCAGGGAAAATTTGAAAGACATAAAGTTTTCATAAAAAAGTGTATGCATTTGTTTTTAAATTTGCTGTTTACTCATTTCGAAGTCACTTGAACAGACCACAATAAAATGGTTCATCAAGTAAAATTTAAAATGTTGCATCATTTCAATGGAATTAAATAGCAGGTACAAAAAAGTGTTAATGTTTCTATATTGGACAATTTTTCGTCTACAATTTCAGTCAGTCCATTTTTGTTAAAGAGTTTTATCTAAAAAAATAATTGAGACTATCCCCTATCAAAGTACTTACAGTTCAAATTATTATATTAGAAGAGAAATTGAATGCCAAATAGGCTGCATCCAATGCATAGTCAAATGTTATTCATGTTAAATTCTTGAAGAAGTTAATTTAAAAATGGGTTGTTTACATTTTCAAGTTTTTATCACAATGCTCCCTCTATTTCACATTATTATTGAACCACAGGATTTTATATCGAAAAGTTTAAGATGTCTTTAAAATTCAAAAGTACATTCTTGATAGGGAGAGAAATCATTTTCGTGTCTTATAAAGAACAAAAAGTGGCATATCCTGTTTGTTGACAATAGAGAAATGTAAATTGTGTTTAATCACACCTGAATATTAAAAGCCCTGATTTACACACAATACACTAAAACATCAGATATTTTAACAGGTTCAATCTAACAAAGTCAACAAGCTGCATTCAAGTTTGACATGATCCAAATTGGTACTTTGGTATTGTAGCGACCACACCAATAAAACAACTTCCAAATAAGATTAAATTAATTTAAATAACAAAATCATCATAACCTAACCACCCTTAGGTTAGGTTATAATTGTTATGAGTGGTCCGTTAGGTGTATAATACCAAAGTACCTAAAAATTAGTTTTGTTTGAGTAACTCATATTTTGAAGTTCAAAAGAAAACTGTGGCTTAAATTAGTTTGTGCTAAATCTCAAATCTAACATGTGTGCAAGCCTAAAACTTTCTCAGCATGATCTATAAACTACAGGGATGTAAATTATCGTGCTAGTAAAATTAGAAAGCGGATTGCAAAACTGGTGATGGTAATTAAAGAGGCATCATCATTATAAAGAAATTAAACCAGTTTTTCTACCATGACGTCTTCCCATGCTAATCATTTTTAGAGTTACTGACGTTCAAGAGGAAAACAACAGAACTGGAAGTAGGCTTACTGTTTTAGCTTTCAGTAAATATTTCATCACATCTTCACTATCATTTGTTTAAATTTTTAGTGGTACCATAAAACAAGAACTTTTCAGTGATAACATACCTAACATGTATTGCAATATTTAGCAGCCTAAAATCAGCATGACTATAAAACCGTAATTGAATAACAATTAGTAGGCTTGTAGCTCATAACGATCGATGAAATATACAACGATGCTCATTACATTTACGGTTCCACGTTAAACGTTTATACTGTAGTTAGAGCTATTAAACTGTTTACCAAAAAAGGGTAAATTTACTACCATAAATAATTATAATAACCTTATCTACATTTTTAAGTTAATCAAACTATTAAATAGTTCTTAATTTTGCTTATCAAATAAAAAACTAATACTGTCACAATACATGTCCAAACACTTGTACCTATTCCTTTACAGCTTATTGAACCACAGATTCTGATTCTCATGGAGTTTTAAGTATTAAAAAATATAATTTTTACAGTACAGTATAGTAAAACACGCTGTTAATATTTTCAACCTTTTTGAATCTTGGAGTATAAAAACTGAGAACTGAAGCATCTCGTTCTAATTTCATATTTCAAATATTTATATATTTTAAAAACCATTTACATGCATGAAAATTATACATAAAATGATATCTATCACAAAAAAAATATCCTTATCAAATGGAGCAGGCCCAATAGGCCTATGTAATTTTCCATTTGGACAAAAACCATTTACCGACAAATTATTCAAGTTTATTACACAATGGTAAGGGAGGAAGTTATGCAGCCAGGTGTTAGCGTCTGTTCAACAATGGGACGAGAGTGACGTAACAGTTACGCAAGAGCGTAACATTGTCGCTACGCTGATCTCACAGTAGCGTAACGCATCGCTTAGCCACACATCATGTTGTAGCCTATTGTTAGGAAAACATACTAGCATGAGGATAATATTGTTTTAGTTGTAAAATGTTTATGTTATGCACCTTTCACGTGGCTTTCACATTTAATTACTATATCCAAGCAAAATACAGTTCAAGCTTTTAAGTGGGTTGCACATTTAAAGTAAAAAAATGGGTATTGTTGATTCAGTAGTAGTGTCTTATAAAGTGCATTTTATGTAGGCCAACCTTGCACGTGAAATGTGTATATTATTGACGAAATCCAAGCAAAGTAGTGTAAGAAGGTTTACAATTTGCAAAACATCAGTCATTAGACGATTCCAAAGTGGAAAAAATGTTTAAAACATTCCTGTTGTGAAAAACGTCTAGAGCCTAATGACTTAATGAGGATGTAAACTTTGCAGCGTGTAATACGAACAGTTTAGAAATTGTCATAAAGATTAATACAGTTTGTGATAGTGACAGCGAATGTGATGGAACCTCAATACTACTTTAACAATTAAAGATCAGTGCAAAATATGGTCGGGACTTTGAGGAAGGGCTCGTCTAACTGAACACGGAACTCACTCAACAAGGGAGAAGTTGTTCAATGAGTTTCCTATCCTACAGAGCTCGACATAAACAGCAATAAATAAGTCAACAGAGCCCTAGAGTACCGGAAACTTACCGGGGACTACCTACATCTGTTTATAGAATACAGTAAACATAAACCTTTCTCAGGACTAGACATAATCCTCACCTAACAACTATGTCACAGTCCCAAAATAGGCTACGTTAACAACAACATTAGATAAGGCTTTTCTATATCATTGTAATAGCTTTTCTGAGTAAGTATTATTTATGATTTAAAGTAATTTTGTAATAAGTTTGATCGTCAAATTATCGAAAGCATAAACGCAATAAATATGTGTGTTAAATAATGTCGTTAAAAATGGCAGGATTATTTGAGTAAAGTAGGCTCTTCAGCTATAAGACAATTATATTGCACATTTCAAAAGGTAAACATACGTAAGGAAAATAGCAAAAACACAAAATGGACTTGGTGCTAAACTGAACAATTGTCTGGCGGAAGCTGTTTTCGAGCATGACTTGATAGGAGAGTAAATTATAAATTCAAATATGATATGTTTTGGCAATTACTTAGCTTAAAATCTGTTAAATCGCTAGAAAGCAAAGATTAAATCAATATTAATTAACTTGGTGGATTCTTAAACTTACCCGGATAAGATTGCTCACGTATGCGTGCTAATCATATCGCTGTGTCTGTTGTTGTCTAATTAGCAAAAATGCTGTATCTGCAAGAGTAAAAACTTTCGGCCGGGTAACGTTTCAAATTACCATGTTTGACTAATTGAAATGTTATTTCCACCTACTAGGAATCCACTAAATTAGAAAAAGGTAGAACCTAAAACATATCTAACATGAACCTATCAAATCTAACATCCTAAGCATTTAAGTACCTACATTAATCGCAAAAAACTATTTAGGCACATTATGTATACACCGAGTGACGAGAATTCAAAAGACTAATATTATGAATTAAATTACAAACTCAAAGGTTTGAGAATGAAATACAATTGTAATTTATGAATAGACGAAAATTGTGAACGAAACAAATATTACATTCTTTTCCCAGACAAGATCGTTGTAGTTGCGGTTTTATCAACAGACATCACGTTTTTATCAACGCAAGCAAATTGTAGGCCTAGAATTCCACAACACCTTGTGCTAATAGCGCAAAACATTGCAATTAGTCAGTTACTTGGGAATTCATTTAGATAAAACCAGTAATTTTAAATAAAAAAAATAAACATCATTATGTGTGGTCAAAAGACCCACAGCCTTCGAGAAGTTATGTTCATATAAAAGTGAGATCTTTACTAAACCAAGTTTCCTTATTAATAACTTGTACAATCAACATCGACTAACCGGAGCCGACGGAGAAAGTTTCCATCCTACATCATAACATGCAAGTTGTAAGTTTCACATCAGTTGCGTGGGAGAGAACAAGTTGCTCTCAAATTCTTCCAACTCAACAAACGGTCCACACTACTCGGGGAAAATATTACTAATTCTTAATCATTCATAGCATTTATATTCAAAATATAATTGATTTTCTGGAATATTTACGTTTTAAAATTGATCTAAATAGGTTATTCGGTTACTGTTTGGAATATAGTTTTGCGAAATCGTGTAACTACTTTAAAAAAGACAAGTCTTGGTACATAGTTTTCCTTGACAAAGA